AAAAATTCTGTAGGTAAAAAAAAAAAAAACCAAAACCAAAACAACCTTTCTTTAATGAGCGGTTTATCTGTAGCTCATCTATATTTTTGTGGAAAAGTATGAAAACAAGTGGCTGAACAGAAGCAGCCAGCTTTCATTGAGGCATAACAATGTCACCACTGTTTTGCACACGCAAGATGTTCGTTGTGCAGTGTGATCACATGCTTAGAAAAGGCAGTCTTGGAAACAGCTCCACAATTAGCAAAGAGAGTTTCCTCAGTTTTCGCTTGAAGTTCCTGGATTTCTCCCCAAGTCCTTGCATAATTTGATTTCAAAACAAGCCCACTTGCTCTATACCCCCCATTATTGGTAATTAATTTTTTAAGTTTTAGTAAGTTGCCAGAAAAGACTGGTGTTAGCTGGGTCAGGTGTAGCCTGGTGGCAGCTGCAAGGTACTCTGTGTTGTTCAGGGAGGCCTGCTGATGTGCCTGGCACCAAGGTCAGTGGGAAAACAGGACGAGGAGCTCCTGCCCCCTGAGGTCTGTGGGGCTGAGTCCTGGGCTGCTTGTGTGAGCGAGCCCTGTGCACTGCCTGGGGGTTCACAGGCTCAGGCCAACCTGCTTGTCCACTGAACCTGGCTATGAGTCAGAACCACTAGGTAAGTCATGATTTAGTCCTGCTCCTTTGGTATTTGGCAGGATCCAAAGTTGTCTTTGTAGCATCTCCTCCAAAAGAGGAACTCCTCAAAGGCATTGTGAAGCTCCTGTCTTGTGTACAGAGGGAAGGAGTGATTTATAAAAGACAAAAAGAGCTTGCTTGACCATGATTACTTTTGCATAGCCATCCACATGCCTCCCCACAATGTTTAATGTGTGAGGACTGTGGCAAAGTGAAGTTTCTGCTGCAAGTAGAGAGTAAATGCATTTTAATAAGCTGTTAAGACAGTAATAACTTCTGTGGAAGTCAAAAAAAGTAGATTGTGTCATTTGAGCTTGAATGCAGAAAAGCCTCCTAGAAGCCCCTTCCAGCCTTATTTTCTTGAAATTCTAAACATTCATGGCTTTCTCTAGAGTATGGCATTTCTCTAATACCCTACTCTGTAAAATTGCTGTGTATCTCTTGTTCCAGGCTGCCTGACTCGGAATCCCCTGTGGCCAAATTTTGCTCCCTGTTAACGATGGTGTGAAGAGTTCTGGCATGTTACTGTGCAGGAATGGAGAAGAGAATATATTCCCTTCTCCTTTCCCTTTATCTACCTCTGTGCCACGGCGTGCACGTGGCAGCCTGGGCTCCTGTGATTTATCCATGTTCCAAACTTTCTCAGCCACCTGTGGTCAAGTGGCTTCACAGGCTAACCAGCTGAGCAGCTGCTCCCAGCCAGAAGGGAATTTATGTGGTTTCACTCTGAATATGAAGAGCAGTCTCACTGCTAACGGCGCTTTCAGGTGTTGTAGCACCCTTTGTAGGCTGAGCTCGTGTTTGAGACTTCCTTCAACTGCCTGTGGGCCAGTGGCTGTTTCAGAGCCCATTTCATAGATGGTGCATTGTTATTTGAGGTAAGCAGAGAGCTTTGGGTGATATGCAGCCTGCAGTGTGGCTGCTTGTGAGATACTGATACACTGAAAGCATTGTCCTGCGAGGTCTCAGTTACTGCCTAGTTTTGTCATGTGCCTAGCAGCAACCACAAGGAGCCCTGTGCAGAATCAGGACTTCTTGTTTAAGCAAGTTCTCCATGAGAAAGTGTCT